TCGTAATACTTGTGGGCATTCTCCAGAGTTTTCTGATAGAGATCATATGAGTTTAAAATCTGAGATTGATCTAATTGCTTTTTTTCACTCTTTTAAGTGAGTTGACATTTAAACCTAACCTTGCAAATTCCTTAATTTTGAATATATTCTCCAAGTAAACATATTCATTGGTGTTGAATGTCATTTCTTTCAAATGATCTTGGAGTTTGTAAAATTCTTTTAGTTTATAGGAAAGCTTTCTTAATTATTTCTCTGATATATCTGCTTGATTTTCTAACTCTAGAACATCAAGGACCGTATGTGAGATTAGATCAACCTTATCTTTCTTATCATTAATTTTATCTGTTTTTATTATCTGTGCTTTTTAAACTATGCTGATTACAATTTTTCAGTCTTATATCAGTTAATTTAAATGTCAGCGGGTGTCTACTTTTCTGCAGGTCTATTCTAATGAAAGTATTATTTCATTAATTATGTTTTCTTGGTTCTATCCTTAATTTCGTACCCAAATAATTAACCCATTTTAATTATTCCTGTACGTTTTCTCTTTCGATCATTAATTTTAAACCATTCCTGTTAGTATACTATAATTTATTCTGGATTGGCTTCTATTCTGCACTTACCTTTGGTCATGCCATGTGCATCTTTTTTATGGAGCCAGTATATTTATTCAACTGCCTGGCACCATCTTTCTCATATTGTTCATGCCTGAGAAACTCTATAGAAATTTTACCTGTTGCTTGAGAGGATATTTATTTACTTCCTTTCATTGTGTCTGAGGGCTGCATGTCTTCAATGTAGCTCTTTTTGGAGTTTGGCTATTATAGGATCTCATATTTTATAGTCTGAGGGGATCATGGAGTTGAGCAAAATTCACTACTTTTTCAAAATCACTTTTTCCCTTTTCTAAGATATTTTAAATGGGTTGCACTAAGATTATTATTGGTGGAACCACAAATATGGAGACATAGCCCTTTTATATGGAAGAGTGGTTGTGAGGGTTTAGTCCTGAGTCTGAAATGGAACCAACTTCACCCTCTTTTAGCCGTTCCTTTCCACTGCTATTCTAAAGAAAAGATAAAATGCAGGAATATGCAGCCATTGCATTCAGAGATGTTTGACCTCCGTATTTAAACTTTATAAGATAAACCTTATAGAATGTCATTTCACCAGTAAACTTCACAGAAGACAAGGATAAGATTATGGCGTCAATAGTCTTTGGTCTTTCTGAACATGGCCAGACTTCCTTATTCAGCAACAGATTTCTGTTTTTCTTTTTATTTTTTTATATTTTTGGTTATTGATGGTGGATTTTTGTTTGTCTGCTGTTGCTGTTGTCATTGTTTTGGTTGATTTTAGTTCAACAACATTTAGAAAGGTAAGTTTTCTGAAATTATAAATATTTTTGTTTGCCTGTTGTTTGTATCTATCCTGTCTGGCATACGTCATAGATCTAAGAGCAACACACCTTCAGCCCCCTCCTTTCCACCAGCCTTTACAGCAGCTCTGAAATGTAATGCCTATAGTGCATTTATTAGATGAAACATTGGAGAACCAGATTAGTTAAGTAACATATCCAGCATGCTGAACTCATAAAAGACTGTTAAAAAGAGTGCTTTTCTGTCTGTGCTGCTATACCAAAATGGAAAACACTGAAATAATAGCTTAAAATAGCTAGTGAAATAATTTATTTTCCTTAGGTAGGAATATTTTAGATGTTTAATGAAAATGAGTAGTTAAGTGGGTGATGAAAAAATAATAAGAGGATTTTGATAATTTCTTGCCTCCTTTAAAGAAGATAGAAAAGATAATTCAACTTGCTGGATTTCAATTTCCCTATCTAAAATTAATTAATAAGAATATTGATGATGATGAGTTTTATACCTTTGTGGCTTTCCATTTACTTGAATTCAGTGCAATGCAAGAAATACAACATTAAATCTGAAGACAAGTATAACCAATGAAAGCATGTGTATTGCTCGTATCTGCTGAGGCCTTATTGTTCATAGGGTGTGTGTTTTTAGACACTAGCTCTCTTGTCTTTTCAGCCTAAGAATTCCATCTTAAATATTAAGATTGAGATTCAATGCCACTATACTTATGGACTCATCCTAAAAGTAAGTCCCAATACCAAGTTTATGTTTTGTGTTATACATTTTCATATAAAAATACAAATTCAGTCTTCCAGTTTACAAAGGAAGTTCTCCCTCTTCCTTTCCCCCTTGAAACTTAATTCCACAGAATTTCTGTCCAATTAAATGAAATAGATCTAAGTAAGTGTGACATCCAACCATGATTATGGGAGAAGAGATTTATAGCTATCCAGGATGGAATGTTATAGCCTATAGGGGGGGTGATAAATGCATTTATGCAGGGTGGAATGAAGATTGGCAGGCAGCAGTGGCCCTAAGTAAGTTGTCAGATCCCAAATATGATGAGACAGAAACATAGGGGCAGGGGGTGATGAAGCAAGAAAGAGTAGGAGCAATTCATCACAATGCAGGTGTAAAGCAAGGAGTCTAGTATTAAAGTCAATAGGATGGAGAATACCATCTTAATGTGGCTGGGTGTGTCGGGATGAGGTATGAGATCCTCAATGTTGACAGTTGTTCTCCATGTTGGAATATGAGTGTACACAAGACTTCAAAGCCAATGGGGATTTGAAAAGCTTTCACTTAAGAGGGCAATCTTTCCCATGGTAAGAACTCAGGTAAGATGAGGAGACAGGAAACATCTATGCTGGTGTTAGAGTGAGAATGCAATTAGAATTGGATGATGGTACATGAAGATTTAAAATGGGTATGCAGAGGGTGATGGCCGTCATAGATTAGTTAGGGAGAGAGAGACTGAAGACTTGCACAAACATATTTACAATAATAGGATTGGTGTCCTCATAGCTGAAATAGGGGCTAACAAAACAGAAAATGTAAACTAATAAACATCACTATAAACAAAGAGACAGGGACATTTGCTGAGAAGCCTCAGATCATAAGCACAGAAATAATGATGAGCACACTTAGCATCTAGACCATGGCTTCTTATATAAAAATTATCCTTTAAATATATATGTATATATATATTTACTAATCAGTGCAGTTTGATCATATACCGCCCCCCCATACTTTTCTCTCATCCAGCAGCCCACATTGCACATTCTGGTACTATGAAAGTTACGCAGGAGGAAGACTTCTTCCTCTGGTCAGAACCAACTTGATTTCTCTGTTAATACCAAACTGTATTAAACCATGGCTTCTAAATACCATTCTCTCATAAAAGGAACCAGATTTTCTTAGGTTTCTTAGGGTAAAAAAAAATACTTCCATTGCTAGGAGATATAAAATAAAAGATAACTCTAGAACTCTTTCTTGTATCAGAAAATAAGCAAAGACAATTAAAAAACCAAGTTTTAGATACGTGACAGGACCAAGAAGACTATTTTTGGTCTAGCCAGTAAGTACTGGTCATCAAAATAAGAATTCATGTTTCATACTTTAATTAATAAAGCATGAAACTAGGAATTTATAGTGCTAGAGTAGACCAAATATGTTAAATGGTCAAAGAATATCTGTACATTTACATTATATCAGTTTCAGATAGTAATACGAAAGGGAAATAAAATACATTCTCAAATCTGCCAGTACCCTTTAATCAACTGATTAGTGTTAGCCGATAGAAGCCATGAGACGCCACAGACACAGAATGAATCTCTCAATTCCATTGCCACACAATGGATCCCTGAACCATTGCAACACAGCTGCAGACAGTGATGTACCGAGCAGAGTTTGGGAATGGTATGACTGAGACAAGACTGTGGGGTTTGAGTTCTGTGGCTGGCTGAAAGGAGATAGTGAAATTTTTAAAGGGTCAGTATCCTCTATTATCTTTATTATTACTATATTTATTTTGCTTCATGTGTATAAATGTTTTGCTTGCATGTATGTATGTGCACCACATCCATACCATTCCCATGGAGGCCAGAAGCAGGCATTTGATCCCTAGACCCAGAGATATGGATGGTTGTTAGCTGCCATATGGATGCTGGGAACTGAACCTGGGTTGTCTGCAAGAGTAGCCAGTGCTCTTAACAGCTGTGCCATCTTTCCATTCCCCTGACAATTATTATTAAAAGTCTGTATAGACCTTGTTACTGCCTATACCCTGGACAGACAAGCTTCTACCAGGGGGTGAATACATACCTTTTCATCCTACTGCTCAGAAAAGCCCACATTGACTAAGAATCAAAAGCTTCCTTGTAACCATTGACCATATCAAAGTCAGCAAGTCAAGGAATGACTTGAGATTTGCTCCTTACTGACTAAAAATAACTAATGTAAAAAAAAAAAAAAAAAAAAAAGGCAGTTGAATGGATTCTCCACTTGAAGTATAAAAGTTTTATTTTGGAAAAAAATGGGAAATGGAGTCATAGATTAGATGCTGGTATTCAATGTTAATTTCTTGATTCTGTTGGTTTTATTGTTGTTGTATAGAAGAAGGTGTTTTGTTTATATGAACCATAAACTATTTCTTTGGGTGAAAGGGGCTCAGTTTGTAACATCAGTCTAAGTAGTTCTGAAATTTTTCCTTATAATATTTTATTTATTTTATTTTAACTTTTAAGAGACATATATTTGTTTATTTTGGAGTTGGCATAAGCCTAGAGACAACTTTCAGGAGCTCTTGTTTTTCCCCTGGTTAAGGTCTTCTTTCTTGTTTTTTCTGTTGCTGTGTTACCTACAGTGGGCTAGCTGGCACTGTATTTGGCTTTTTAGGTGGGTTCTAGGAATGGAACTTGGGTCACCAAGCTCATAGAACTTGCTCTTTTACCTGTGGAGCCACCTCCCCAGTGCAGGAAAAATATATGCAACATTCTTGCAGCATTTTCTCTACTGTTGAAATTGTTCTTATATATTATCTTGATATGTAGAGATGATACTAAAATCCAGCTGTCTCCTATACCAGGGACAAGTATTTCAGGAGATGTTGTCCTCTTCTGTCCCCAGGTGAGGGTCATTTCATCCGTCCTATTTTTACTCAGGAGCCACAAGATGCCATTTTTCCTTTGGATTTATCCAGATCTGAAGTCATTTTGAGTTGTGCTGCCAATGGTTACCCTTCACCCCATTACAGGTAAGATCCTCCCTCTGGATACCACTGTTTATACCCTTGTTGTTAATGTAAAATGCACACATAAAAAGGTGTTTTCCAAAGTATTTGAAAGTTTACTGTGTAGACTACAAGGGATCTTTCCATGATACACAGTTTTGTTCACAGTACTCATATCAGAAAATACATGTATTCAGAACCATAACAAGTTCCCTCATTCTGTGTTCTGGGTGCCATTTCCACAGAATCACTGTTACGCTTTGTCTTGTTGCTTACATTTGCTTATGGCATTTATACTTGAGACTGATGCCTTGCATAGCTATACTGTACACAGAACTGAGAATGAAAGAGTCCAGAAATATAGAAGTAAAGAAGCACAAGAGACAGAAATGGAAATGAGAGTGAAAGACTTGAGACAAATAACAAGCTCATTTTGCCTTCAGCATGGCTGCCACAGTTTGAGACTACTTCCTCAGTTTCCCTGTATATAGTGATAATGTAAATGTTCTCCTATAAACAATCAAGACAAATTTAAATTTATTTTGTGAGATAAAATTCTGTAACTCCACCAGCAACTACCATTAAACTAAAAATATTAATTGTAGAAATAAAAAAGTTATAGGCAATTATGTACCTTCTAAGGCAGAGAGAATTTTTTTTAATTATGGGCAAAAGGGAATAATGTGTTTGTTTATCATACAATATTTTATTTTCAAAGTCTTCATTTTATATTATTTCAAAATTGTTCTGATTTTTCTCACATTTTTCTGTCTAAAGAGGATGTATGCAGGCCTCTGTATGAAGCCTTCTGTAGTATCTTTGTAAATATTAGAAGCATGGTACATTTGTTGAAACAAAGGGGCTCTTAGCAAAACAGAACAAAACAAACAAAACAAAAACACTTAATTTTCTTTTCTGCTAACCCAGTCTTCCAAGCAGTACAAAGTGAAAAAGAAAGAGCAGGAAGGGAGGAAGGGCTAATAATGTTTTGACTTATTTACACAGTTTCAGGTAAGGTAGCATTTAATCTACATTGTGGATAGAATTCAAATATTTAGAAATATATACATGAATAACTTGTATTTTTAATGAAATTATGCTTTCTGGTAAAATCTGTGTGAAATATGAATATAGGAAAGACATAATAAATATCAAAATGACTTTTCAGTGACATGGATTTTAAAAGCATTTCCTAAAAGTGTTAATTTTTAGATGTTGAACTGAAAGTAACAATTTAGTCACTGGTTTTTTTCAATGTGATAAAATATAGCCTATATTTGTATTTAGACAGACATAAATTACTTGACTAAACTAATTAGCTCATTTATTTAAATGTAAAAAGTTCAAGACATTACATTTTGCAGAGTAACATCAGTATCTTCTATTTATAACCAAACATCTTAAATCTTCTAAATAAACTTATTAATGTTCAGAATTTTTTATTCTGAAAGCAATGTAAGGTAACTGACTTGGGAGACCAAAAATTTTACAAATTGTTTTATTTAAATCAGGGCTTGTTTATTATTTATTTTGCTAAAAATAATCAATTTAACATACAATAAAGATATAAAATATGATCAATAATTTTCAGGATTATCTAATATTTGAAGTTATAATTTTGTTTTTTAAAGCTAATTCCATTGATCACAGTTGTTAGGAGGATTTCTTAGAAAAATAAAAGACTATCTGAATGCCCATGTTTTACAGTTTACTAAATGTAATTTAATAAATGAAGTATGTGTGATGTATTCATTGCATGCAACAACAGAAAGATATATACTGGTGTCTCTGATGACAATTTTCTGGTTAGTGCCCCATGTAGACATAAATAGTGAAGAAAACTAGAAATTCTAACAGTGCCAAAAACTTATATTCCTAAGGTGTTTCTAAGCTAGAGCCATAAAGACAAACAATTTAGCTTTTCCTTTCTATCTTTACAAAGTGCTTCAGCAGATCTCCAATATTCCTTGATAAGATATTCTTCAGGAAGAGGCTTTGGAGAGTCAGAAAAGAATTACATTTTAATGCCTAAATGTCAAACTCAGACCCAGTTTCACTGATACTAAAGCAAGCGGCAGTAACTTTTCAGGCACTGTGCACTACCAATAGAAGGTGAAATTTTAGTCTTAATATGACTACAAGTAATGTTGATTTTAAACATCCACTAACAACCATATTAAATTTGGATTATTTGGAAAGATGTGAACCAGAGGAAAAGCCCTTATTTTCAAAGATCCCAGTGTTATATGGGGTTATTTAGGCACAGGAAAAAACAGTCCAAAGGAACCCTCCACTTAGATCTAAGTTATTCTTTGTAGTGACCTTGCTGTCCTTCTGCGAGGAGCCTTGGAATGCTCATTTGTCTTTGTTGGTAAACACTCCCTTCAGAGAGTGAGAGTAAGCTTTCCTGCATACTGTTTTAGAAGGAAATAAAACTGAAGTGGAAACCATTGCTTTAAAAGTTTTGTCTTCTGTTTTAAACATGTTTGTGTTATCAAATTTATTCTTACATTGGCTCCTTTTAAGAGAATTAAGCTGTGTTTTTCTTTTTCTTTTTTTGTAAATTCAGTACAGCAAATGGAAACACATGGGACAAAATAGCAATCTTAAAAGCTAAACGTCAGAAACAGATTAAGAGTCAATTCTGTAAAGTGTCTTTCAATGAAAGACAGTAGCAAAATAAAGATTTGCATACAGTAGCAAAATAAAGATCGACAAAATACATACTATGAAAGTCTTGTCAAAAAACTAGGAATGATTACTTTTACTCAATCAATGACCAGAGAACATGTGCTGATAGAGTTCAGTCAGGAAGCCTTGCAAAGGACTTATACCTAGAACACCTAGGAAAATCAGATAGTAGGGAATTAAACCCATGTAATTTATTTGGGGAATAGAAAGAGCACATACTTAAATCAATGATGCATGATTATCATGGACGGCTTCTAGTATATCTTCTCATAACCTGGTCACCAGAGGAAAGTCCATTAGTGTTTATCTGTCCTAGACATGAAGAAAGTCAGTAAAACCTTAGGAGAGCCCATTCTCTTTTCACACATTTTCTCATTTCATCCTCTTAATAACTCTGTGAGATCAAGCAGGATACCATGCAAGGCTTATAATGGATGGACGTATCTTCCGATGAAAGCAAGTAACTTGTCTGAGGAAACACAGGGCAAGAATTTTAGAGTTGACATGACTTTTCCAGTGGAAACAATGGCTTCATAATGATGCTGTACTGCAAACACTAGACAGACTTAGAACTTTGGTTGTAGTGTTTCCTTCAGTGATCTAGGGCTGGGCTCAGGAGTAAGTACTTTAACATGCACTTACAGGGGAGAAGTTTTGTGAATTCTCACCAACAAATGCATAAAGGAATGTTTATATTCTCAAAGGACAGCAAATAAATAAAGATCATATTGTTCCGTCAGGGCTCAAACACTTAACTGTGAAAGATATTCCACTGGCTAAAAGCATCAGATTTCAGTTCAAATTTCTCAGAAATCAATGATCACTTCATATCACTTTAAAACATTCAATGTCTTTTGTCATAGGAAAATGCTCTTGGATAAATAATGCTATCACTAAAGTATGCCTGACAATCACTTGAATGCTTTAACACAATTTCTTCATTGATTTAAATGTATTAATTAGGACAAAGCCAACACCAGGGGTTGAACTCCTGATCTATATGCACACTTTAATAATCATTTTACCATAGTGATTTGAATGATTACTGGGCTACTGTGAAAAATTCATTGGCTGCAGCTAAGCCAACAACTTTGAATTTCTGTTGAAAAACAATTACTGAGCTTAATTAGGAGAATGTAATGATGACAGCAGTTATTTCGGTGATTGATTCCAAAATTAAAGAGAGCTGGCAAACTAAGTATGGTATATCCTTTGCTTTGAAAACTAGAGAGAACGAGGAGGCCAAAGACTGTGCCCTGTAAGCAAATTATGAAAGACAGTATTACCATGTGGGCAGGGGGAGTATTGGCCTCTTGAGATAGGCAGGCGGAAAGAAGTTTCCTACTTTTTCAATCTTGAGAACAAGCAGCAGTATGTACAAACTAGTACTGAAAGAAGGTTGAAAATCCAAGCGACTGTGATGAACTCTTTGACTGCTGTCTTTTAACTTCATTTTATTAAAGAGAGGTTGAAGTATACAGGAGGTGGATATAATAATTTTAAAGTTACAGGACTGAGTCGAGTCAGATTAATTTGATATTTGAGCCAACACTTCCCATCTTTAATAGTGTGGGTTTACCTGGGTTCTCATTTCTTGTCTACCTTGGTAGACATTTGTCAGATTCTCCCCAAGGAGTCTTTCACCATGCTTCTAAAACAATCAATGACATTCAATACAATCTCATAAGTTGTCAAGCTTTTCTTATCATTATCCAGCCTAACAAATTATTTTCAGTATGACTTCATTATGATGGGAGAATCATAGCAAAGTTGGTGCCCCCCCTGAAAATATGGTTTGAAACCTTGATATATTCCATAGCATGAAGAAATTCACTACCTATTCTGAAAGACTGTCATGGGCTCAGGACATATTACCTCACACTAGGAAATTAAAAAAAAAAAGAGCACAAGGAGGAAGGTATTCATCTTGTCCTTTTACTTCCTTTTTTTTTTGTGAAGCTAAGGATAAAAATCTTCATTTCAGAAGTGCCTTTTTTCCTTATTTCCAGAGATATACAGCCATCAGTGAGACTAGGAACAGTCAGTCCCTGCTGAATTTCTCCTCCATTGTAAACATAAACTCTTACTTGCTGTGTCCTTTTATGCTTCCTGACAACTATACACTCTTAATTAAACATAGCATTAAAATACACAGATGTTTCTGTGTTTAGGAGTCTTTGTTCTGAAAGCTCTCAGATAGTAAAAAGCTATGTTATATAACTGTGTATGCCTTTCTTATAAAATCTGTCTTCTGTTCTAGACCCTCAGCATGAACCAAACAATGGTAGGGAAAGATTTTGTTTTATTGTTGTCCTTTTCTTCTACCTCCTCGAGTGCTGGTTATGATTCATTGTGTTTAATGTTTTGTTTGTTATTTTTATTTTATGCTTATGCATGTATTGCTTGTGTGTGTGTAAGTGCACCTGTGTCATACAGTGCTCATGGAGGTCAGAAGACGGTGTCAGATCCCCAGGCCCTGTAGTTATAGACAGTTTTTAGCAGTCATTTGTGTGCTAGGAACTAAACCTGTGTTCTCTGCAAAAGGAGCCAGTGTTCTCAGTCACTGAGCCGTTTCTCCAGCTCCATGATTCACTATTTTTAATATCTATTTTCTTAAATGGTTTATACAACTACATAGAGCTTGTAGCCTTGGAATATGGCTCATTAAATATCCAATGCTTGTAATTTAAATTATTTAGAGATTCTGATGAAGTTTGGAGGTGTCAGATAGGGGAAGTGAATGTAGTTAGAGGTGGTGAACATCCGTTCTTCATCATGAAATGACCAGATGGAATTTCTAAAGCAATTTTCACTTCCTTGCAAAAACTTTACTGTCCTTTAGCTGGTTAATTCATGTACTAAAAGGCTGTCGACTAACAGCTAATCCCAGAGACATTTTGCTTCCTAAAATAAAAACTTCTCAAGTTGCATTTGTTTTGCTAACATGTAATTTTAGGTTGGCATTCCTAAGTGCCATTGAAATATTTTCAACGTGATTAATTTTTCAAGTAGCAGATTCACAAAGACAATCATATTCTGAAACAGTCAGGTTGTTATAGTTTTGCTATCAGTGTTGAATGGGCATTGTCAGACCCTTGCTGGCATTCTTTGTGCCATGGTTAATATTACCTTTCTTGGGTTTCTGTCTCCAAATCATTTTTGACATTCACTTTTGCCACATCAGTTGTGGGAATTCAGGTATGGTACTCATTAGCTGAAAATGTTCTAAAGGAATAGGATGTTAAAATAATTGACATGAATGTTGAATTTTTATTTCTAATCTTAAGAGTTATGCTGCCTTTCTGGTTCCATTTAAGTGCATGTTTTTAACTTGTGAAGGGTTCAGAGCTTCCAAATGACCTACAGATTGATAAAACTAACCTCAAAACAGTTCCATTTGCCAGATCTCGTAGCATAGGACTGAATTCTCAGCTAAGTGGGAGGATGAGGAAGGAGAGTTGCAAGTTCAAAGCCAGTCAAGTCTTCTGAGTGAATGAGTGAGTTCCATGCCAGACAAGGCAATTTAGTGACACAATGTCTCAAAATAAAAAGTAAAATTCAGTTTGGAGATGTCACCTAGTGGTAGACCATTTGCCTAGTACAGGAATGTCCTAGATTCTATTCCCAGCACTACAAAACAAAGCAAACACAAAGAAATAGAGTCATCCTTGGTGAAATTGGCAGCTCATCTCCATATATAATCGTTTTTCTGTTTGGTTTCATGTTTGTAGAAATTAAAACAGCAAGTTCTTTAATAAAAATACTAGTCATTTTATATAATTTGATTTTTTTTTGCCCTTGAAGGTGGAAGCAGAATGGAACAGATATTGATTTCACCATGAGTTATCACTACAAGTTGGATGGAGGCAGTTTGGCCATTAGCAGCCCCCGCACAGATCATGACATTGGTACATACCAGTGCCTGGCCACCAATCCTCTGGGGACTATTCTGAGTAGGAAGGCAAAACTGCAGTTTGCATGTAAGTTTTGATGAAAAATATCCATATTTAATATGCCTTGAAAAATAGAATATATATATATATATGTGGCATAAAGGTAACTGTGTGAATAATTTGTTTTTTTTGAAATTAAATGCGGTATATGTGAAAAATTTGACTACATTTTGTCAATCTAGACACCAATGCATCATGAAAATCTGCTCCCTCCTCCCCAAAATTAGAAAATATTAGTGGAATTATACTTGTGAATTATTTTTAGAAACATTTCATAAGTGAGATAGAAATGCTAAAATAAATGCATATGATGTATTATTGCTGTCATTTTAATATTTTTTCTTTTGAATGAGGTATTAGCATGAAGACATAGGAAAGAAATCAAAGGGCAGCAGTGTCACTTGGGGGAGGCGGGTATTCTTCCAGGAACAGCAATCATACACCCACAGTGTGATGTAGGTGGAAATAAAGTAGTTGCCAAAGGCAGGCTTTATATTAAATGTAACAATGTCCAGCTGCATCACATAAATGTCATCCAAGTAATTACCTTGGTGACATTTGGGGACATTAGCAGATGAACAATAGACAGACTGCTTCTTATATCCGTTATATAGTGTTTCCAGGGAGTAAAATGCTTCATGTTGGATGCAGTGAAAGCCTTGTTTGAGAATAATTATATCTCTCGATGTGGACCAAGTGGAAGGCTTGCATTTCTCCCTTTGTAGTACTCCCTGCACTCTGGAGGATATATTGGGTGGCCCAAATGTTAGCTGCTCCTCTTTGGGGACTCATGGAAATGTCTATGCTGTCTGTACTTTTGAAAAACCAAATTTAAAGATTTTATTAAGAATATGTGCCCTGAGCCCACCCTGTAGAATCAGTGTAGTTAGTGGCAGATATATGAATTAATAATCAAGTCTGTTTCTCATTGCAGTTCTCATGTTCCATAGTCTGTTATGCACCAAATACCCCATGGCTTAACACAGTGATGGTGATGTTGAATATTTGGAGCACAGTCTTTATTTCTTTATTTTATGTACAGATAGATATACGTATGCATATACTCAACAATGAAAACAATTTCTTTCTGCATTTCATCGAAGAACACTATTTGGAAACATAGTAAGGAGGAAGATTCGGAGACACCTGTATTTACAGAAATAGGCACCTGTTTAAAGAGACTGAATGATTATTTCAGAACATTCGGTTTGGAAAGGCATTATTCCTAGAAGCTGGAATCAGATTACAATTACACATGACAAATTCCAAAGGAAATACCATACATCATATGATATTTATTTGTAATAATTTGTAATTTGTTTGTAATGAGTTTCTGTTGAGTTATGGATTCTATCTACTCTATAAAATAACTGGACCTGAGTAGCGGGAGAGATGACTCAGCAGTTAAGAGCCCTGGTTACTCTTGCAAAGGACTCAGGTTTGGTTCCCAGCACCGACAATCATCCGTAACTCCAGTACCAGGGGATCTGATTCCTTCTTCTGACCAGTGTGAGCACTGAATGAAATGGATACACTTACACTTACTACATGCAGGAAAAAAACACTCATACACATGAAAAATGAAAATAATATTAAAATATTAAAAATAATAGTAATAATGGGACCTGACTTAAGGGTGTATGCTTGTAATTCCATTACTTAAATGCAGAAATTGTCTCAAAAGCAAGCAAGCAACTAAACAAACTGATTAAATCCTGAATACCTATAAAATTATGGCACTATGCTTTATTTAGCTGTATATTTTTGGTCTTAAATAGTTCCATGCTTTAAAAGAATACTTTTAATTCTTCATATCATTTTAACTTACTCATATTTTGTTTTAAAGAAATACTTGCAGATAGAACTTTCTCTAATAAAAAAAACCTTTTTTTCCTTTTCCCCAAAAGAATAATAATTAAATTAAGAAGTAATTATATCACTTTACTCGCAAGAATAAGATAAATCAAATCCTTCATCATATCTCTTCAGTATTTTTCTTTTGGGTCTAAAGATGAATGGCTGTTGAAGGCCTGGGAAACGGCTCAGCCAGTAAACTGCTCACTATACTAGCTTTTGAACCTCTGCCTTTGATCTCAAGTATCCATGTAAAAAAAGCTGGGTGTGCTGACACATCTGTAACCTCAGGATTGAGGAGGTAGAAACAAAAGGATCCTAAAGGCTCACTGGCTAGTAAATCTACCCCAATTGTCAATGCCATGCTCTGTGAGAGAACTTGTCTCAGGTGGAAAATAGTTGAGAAAAACATGTAAAACTGATCTCTGACTATTACATATATGTGCACACACATGAACACCACACACATACAAAAAAACTAAAAAATAAATGAATAATAAGGATAAATGACTATAGATCATAAAAACATCTCCATTACATTCATGCAGAAATTATAATGAACTGTAATTGCTAATTGGCCTTGTTCTGCAAAGTAAATGATCTTAGACTTTTAAGACTGACATTTGAGAATAAAGAATTGTATAGCATTTTATCTTTTGTGTACAGAATGAAATAGTTATGTCATGCCTGAAATGTTTTCTGTTGCATCCAAGGAGAGATCTGCCAGAGTATAGCACACACACACACACACACACAAAACGCATCTGAGTACATGTCAAGGAAATGGAAAACACCTCAAGTTCATGACTGATGTCTTTATCCTTGAATGCTTCACCATCTCCTTAAATTAACAAGTGTTTTTGTTTTGTTTTGTTTTTTGTCTTTTTTTTTTTTTTGCTGAAAAGTTCTTTGATAGAACACCATCAAGGGCTAAATACTGGATATTTAATATAAACAGACCTGAATTCAAATTGTATCTCTAGCAGATATCCAACAGAATGAAATTAGATTGCTTCTTAAAACAATAAAGCTCTGTTGAGAAACTTAGAGAATGAAAATCACAGCAGCGTACCTCACATAAGCCAATGGCATGGATTAACTGGAATAACAAATGTGAAGTCTCCCATTCATGTGGACTCTTAAGAAATGTGCATGTTTGAAAAGTTAGAATGATAATAAATTAATTATACATATCATATTTCTGTTACTGCTTCACAAGGAAAACTCTTCTAGGTTATATCTAAAATTTTCTCCTTATGTCTCCTCTTTTCAAGTTTCTACCTTAATTATATATATAATGGTTTTCATTATGAAATTTACACACACATATATCTATATAATGCATTGTGATATTTGCTTCCTCACCCCTTTATTTTGCTCCCCTTCTATATCCATTGATCCTCTTTCAATGTGAACTGATCCCCCATCTACTAATGAATCTTTTTTTATGACACAAAGTGGCACACTAGGGTTGCCTACAAGAACACAGATGAGAGCTTATGAACAGAACTATGGGAAACTTACAAGTAGCTACATCACTGAAATATTGTCCCTCCTCCATCAACCATCAACTGCCTTCAAGTCCTCAAAGAGCATGGGTATTCAGGAACTCCTGGCTCTTCAACAAAATGCTGAAGAGCCCAGTGTTGTGCAGGCCTTGTGTAGGTAATCCCAGCTGATAAGAGTTTAAGAATGTACTAGCCATGCCATGCCCAGAAGATAGCATTCCACAAATTTCAGCCTCTTCCTCTGGCTCTTACCTCCTTTTGGACAGCATTCCTGTGATGTCCCCTGAACCTTGGAGATATCCCATTTATAGCTGAACATTCATCAGTCACTTATTTTTGACATTTTGACCAACTATGAGTCTCTTCCATTATTGATTCCCACTGCAAAAAAAAGAAGGTTCTCTGAACAAAGCTGAAAGACATACTAATCTGTAGCCTCAAATTAATTAATTAGAAATACATTTGACCAACACACCATGTTCACTGAGCAAAACAACAGCAGTATCTTCCCCACCATTGCCTATGATCTCACTGGCCACTGGCATCTACTGGGTTTACAGTAGCAAATGTGAATTCCCTTCAGTGAATGAGGCCTCTACTTCAATTAGAAAGTGGTTATTGACGTCATAACAGACCTTCTATTATTCTACAAATGTGCACATGTTGTCTGCCCAGTCAGTAGTGTTGCACACAGAATCCACTGCTGGGTACAATTGTTGATAAACATTTCCCCCCAACAGCCTGCTTAGCAAATCAGACACTCTGCAGGGTAGCCAGCAAGGAGAAGGATTCTTGTGCAATTCTACCTAGAGTCTCCATGTACTGCACCCACAGCAGGTGTTGTCTTTAGCAGTAGATTCTTACTTTCTAGTTCTCTCTTTCTACCTTGCTTTCAAATTTGTATACATAATTCCTCTGTTGAACTGGCCAGGAATCATAGAGTCAGGTACTTTGTCATACCCATTTTATAGATTAGAGGCCTAAGGCCCACAGATTATGGCTTTCTTAAGGAATATTGTTAGTCAACAAATTTTAATATCAGTATAGTTATACAACAGAGTTCACTTTCTAAAACTAATACTGCTGAAATTAGAACAGATGCTGCCCACACAAGCCACAGAAATTTCCTTTCTTCATTTCAGTTGCAAACTTTGACCTTTTTTTTCTAAGTAAGGTAACAATACTTGCTCTTATCACAATACTTGCATGATAAACTTGGACTTTAGTAGTGAGTGCCTGGTACAAATCTCCCTTCATGAGCGGTGCATCCTTTTCCAGCTACGGATACCTGCAGCTGCCCCTTCTCTGCTTTTAATCCTCAGATTTCTCCCAGGAGATCAAAATGAACCTAGGTGGTAGCTGAGTCACCTCCCCTTGCTCTATACTGCCCTGCTCGTGTTTTGGAGAGCAGTCTCTCAATAAGCTTATACATAGGAATCTATGCCTCTCACGTTTTTAAGGAATCCAAAGAAAGGCAGACACTTTAAAATAAGACTTAAGGTCTGCTTACAGAGAGAAAAATTGTTAGAAGCCTTACTCGTACAACATTTAATAAATTAAAACGAGACTAAACATCAAAACAAAAAATATTTCACCTCTCCTGTTTACTGTCTTTTGCAATCTGTTGTGTAGTTTTGTTCTGGCCTTTAGAGAAAATAGCCTTAT